ATTAACTACAGTATATAATTATTAAATATACATTATAATAACGATAAAAAAAAATATACAACATTATTTATAATTATATATAATTTATGTAGTCATGAGCTCTCTCTTTCCTTTTCTTTCAATTCAATAAGTTGTTGTACAAGGGCTAATTTCTCCGCTTCTAATGTTCGAACAAGATCCAGTTTTTCTTCTTCTTTCTTTTGAAGCACCTCAAATTTCTCCTTATCTTTTTGTTCTACTAAATCTATAAGCTCGGCTTTTGTAAAACCGTTTCACCACTAATGAATATTATAAAAATAAACCTTTACAAATGATCAAATGAATCATATAAAGTTCATCGTCAAACGTTGTCAGGAAGTGCCGATGAATCATTCGATTTACTCTCGTTTTGTTGTCCACCCTGTCTCTTGCTTCTTGCGTTATCTTTTATCTTATTCAAGCGGTCCTTATATTTTGCCGCAAGACTTTTCTAAAAATTATGATAAGGATATATATATATTTCATTAGATAAAATTTAAAAATTAAGTGTATAAAATTTTGAGTTTCAAGTACCTGTTTTTCACATTCAGCTTTCGTGAGTTGAAGTTCTTCTTCTAACTCTTTGATACGTTTTTGAAGAGACTGCGCGCTAGCAACTTTGGACACAAAGGTATTTTCATCGAATTAGAGTTGAAATAATTAAGAAATTTTATAAGATACCAAAAATTTATAATTACCGGTTGAACTTTCAGGCGAAACCTGTTTTGCTACATAAGACGACCGCAGCATTTCTTGACTAACTTTGATCCGTTTGGCCTATAGTAATAAAAATGTAAAATATTTAAATAATAATTTAGAAGTGAAAAAAATAAGAAATTTATTATTGTTCGAACCTGTTTTTGTAAATCATTTTTAAATTGCAAAATGCTACTTTTTAACATACTATTCTCTTCGGCAGCCTGTTATAAAAATTGGTTAAAAGTGGGTCAATTAATAAAATTTACAGATTGATACTGACAGGTTACCCACCTTTTCATAAGTCATCATCCGTTTAGTCAAATTATCTATGACAGATTTAAGTTGTGCATTCTCCATCGCGTATTCTTCTAAAGTTTTTGTTGAAGTATTTCTACTATACAGAAATTCAAAAATAAATAATGTAATATTTTGTTGTCGTTCATTTCAT